GAGGCGCCAGGCAGGGAGGTCAGGGGCTGGGGCCCCCCTTCTCTGTGCATGCGGGTTTCAGAGCCTCCCTTTCCCCAAGAATCCTCCCCGTGCCGGAGCCTGGGGAGCGGGTGCCTAACGATGCGGGCGACCATCCCCCCACCTCCCGCGACTTCCTCCGCGAGGCGGCGGTGTTGAGGTCCCCTCCTGGCTGGGGTGTATGGCGCCGGAATCCTGTCCGAGCTCTCTGGGATGACCCTGCGCGGCCCCTTTGCTTGCATTGTTTTCGCTGACGCTTTTGAGCACGTCCAGGTACAAGAAGTGTTGAGTGTGGCAGCCCAAGAGGACCGGCTCTGGGCAGGGCCCACTGGGTGTGGCGGTGCTGTTGGGACTGGTCTCCACTTGTCAGGCTGCAGCTTTCTCTCTGCATTTCCTGGTGCCCAGCAAAGTGGCTTCGCTGCAGTGTGCCTGAGACAGGAGGCTTTCCTCTCCTCCAGCCCCAGGCGTTGTGGGGAAGAAGTCAGAACAGCAGCTGCTTGGTCTGCAGACCCCTCTCCTGCCAGGCCTAGGTTGATGTGGGCGCCTTGCGTGCCACTTGTGCCCAATTCTGCAGGGGAGACACTCAGTGCACCCTGTGTTTAGGAAGCATCCCTTCTAATTAGGGAAAGGTGCCTGGTAACTGCTAGCGGTTATTTGCTTTCTCTTCCTTATAGTCCTTCAGGAAGTTCACTGTTATTTCTCTAAAGAGAGTTTCTAGATTACCACCCCTCCTCTCTGCTGTCCTCAGAGGGCCCTTAGGCCTCTGATGATACTCCAAACCTTGTCAAGGGCGTCTCCACACAGAGTGCCCCATTTTTACATCCACATGAGGCCACCTGACTTTGGAACTTGGAAGTATCTTTGCCCCCTCCAGTCCTTCCCAGTTAGGGTTTTGCTCCTTTGCGTAGCTCTTTCTGACTTACCTAGAAGACTCCTGGGCATCCTTCCACATGGGCCTTCCTTCCAGGCCTCTCTTTTTTTTCATATAACTATTGACTTCAGAGAGAGGAAGGTGGGGAGAGAGAAACATCAGTGATGAGAGAGTCATTGATCCGCTGCCTCCTGCACACCCCCAGCTGGGGATCAAGCCCACAACCCAGGCATGTGCCCTGACCAGGAATCAAATAGTGATCTGGATCCTAGGTCAATGCTCAACCACTGAGCCACCCCAGCCAGACCAGGCCTCTCTTTATCCTCAGTCTTCTCAGCGACTATCACTGGTTTGGGGATGATTAGGCTTCCCTCTTCAGGCCCATGTTTCAGCCTTTTCGAGAACTTCTTACCAGAGCTGCCTGCTACCACCCTATCTCCTCTGAGGGTGCCAAGCTTCCTCTTTCCTCTCACCCAGTCAGAGCCCACCCATCTCACCAGCCTCCTCCCCCACCTCCAGGCTCCAATGGCAGTGCAGGTAGTACCACTCAGCAGTGTGAACCCCTGGCCTCTGCCCTCGTTGTCAACAGGTACTTTGTGGCAGGTCCCGCTCCCTGATGTCACTTCCCTGCTTATAACCCTGCAGTGACTTCTGATTGAACATTAAATAAAGCCCAGACCCCTCACCTGGCTGACAGGCCCTGACAGCCCACTCCTCACCTCCACCCCTGCAGCCCTCCCATTAGCTACACTGTAGCCCTTTTCTCTTCCTCAAGCTTGCAAGCTGGTTCCTCCTCAGAGCCTTTGCTCCAGCTCTTCCTCTGCCTGGACCTCCCACATCATCCCAGGGCCTCCCCAAAATTCAGTTCTCAGCTCCAAGGTGGTCTTCCTCACTGCCTCACTCCCTGGCTGCAGTCACATTTTCCCAACTTCTCCAGACCCATCCAGACATCTGCATTGGTTGCTCTCTTTTCCATAAGAGGTGGGTGGGCCATGTGTCTGTCCTTGGTGCAGGGCTGTGGTGTGGTAGTAGGTGCTCAGATGAAGGATGGAATGGGGGTAGAGGAAAGGTGGTATCAGAGCAAGAAGAGGTGGTCTCCGGCATGGTGGGTGGCGCGTGGGTGATCTCTGGTCTTTCTCTTGGTTCTCCCTGGTCCGTCTTCCCTAGCTCACAGCCTGCGTCCTGCTCCTGGACACCCCCACCCCCCGGCAGTGCAGCAGGTTGCTGTGTGTCTCTCTCTGTCCCGTTGGCACTGCTCACTTGTGCTGCATTCCCATCACCAGCGAGCAGCAGGTTCTCGGTGCGTGTTTTTGGAAGGAATGACTTAATTATAAGGTGCTCAGTGCCCTATGCTCCATGTGCAGTGCACAGGCCAAAGCACCATTCTTTTCATGTTCATTAGAAAGAACATGGGGCTAGATACAATGTGGGAATGAGCCTCTGAGCTGGGAGCGTCCAAGAATGGCTAAGGCTGGAGCCCAGGGTGAAGAGTGAGGCCAGGGGATGGGTGGTAGGCACAGAGCTGGCTCTTAGTAGCTGCTGGGTCCTGGAAGAGCTGGGCTACGTGGCCATCTCTGTCCCTGCTGCTTGTGTGGTGTTCCTGACATCTGTCCTTCAGGGGGAATGGGCTCCTTTCCACTAAGAGAAAGGCTGGTCAGGACTCTGACCACCAGAGCAGGAGACGAAATACTAGACCAGGTTTCCCCTTTGACTTGCTGTCCGATGGTCAGCCAGCATGCCTGGAGCTGAGCTCCTGCAGAGTTGGTGCTGATGGCTGGACTGCCGGGAAGCCACCTCTTCCAGCATTCTCCAGGAGAAGCTTTCTTCTTTTCTGGCAGCCTGTCCTCCCTGTCAACCAGATCCACTGGGCCTGGGTCAAATTTCGTTTCTTCCAACTTTCTTAGGTATAGGCAGCTCTGCCCAGTGGCGTTATCAGGGCCGTAGGGAAGCCGAGAGGAAGCTGACTGGGTTCCTGTCAGACTGTCTACCCCTGAAGCCTGGTCTGGCTGGCTCAGCAGCCTCTGTTCCCAAGTAACCTTTGCTCTGGTTGAGGAACCTTCCATAGGTATGCCCACGTTTAGTAAAGTTCACCACATTTCCTAAACACCTCTGGGCACACATTTTTAAGCCCAAATCTTTTCCAGAGTTCTTATGAATTAGTCTTACAGGAAGAGAGGTGTGGCCCAGGGTCACCTGTGGAGAGGTAAGACTCTGGTTGGTCTAGGTCTTGCCCCACTAGCGCTGTCCCTAAGGACCTGGCAGCATGCTGAGTCATGGCCCCCATGGTTTCTGGTGCTGCTCAAGGCCTAGGGAAGCCTGTGTTTGTCAGGAGAGTCCCAACCCAGACAGACCAGCTGCACCAACCCTGCCGGCCCTGGAAGATGGGGCATTCGTGCCCAGAGCATTGGCACCTTCCCAGGTGCCTGGTGCCGATTCCTCCTTCCTGCTCCTCTGGGAGCTTTGGGTTCAGGAATGTGCGGGTGTCCTTGTCTTTTCAAATTCACATAAGTGGTAGCCAGGCGAGTATTTGACACGTGAATGTATAAAAAGTTACCATAAAACTTTATAGCTCAGCCCTCCACAGAGGAGATATATGGGCCCTGTGGTCTTAGGTTTGTTGCCCCCAAGTCACTGTGGTCAGTCAGGCCAGCATCGTTTTCAGCTCAGAGCTGAGAAGGCCACACTTTGGCAGGCCCAGTGGGTCACCATGGGGCCCGTGTTGGCCCAGAGTGTGACTGCCATGCTGAGCTCTCTGGGCTGAGGGCGGACGGCACCCACTGCACTGGCCACAGAGCCCGCCTGTTTTCTTTCAGGGCTCTTTTTACCTATGAAGGCAACAGCAATGACATTCGCGTGGCTGGCACTGGGGGTGAGTACGGCCAAGGAGGAATTGAATGGGCTCCCAGAGGGAGGGAGGATGAGGTGCAGGAAGGGGGAGTGTGGCTGTCACTGTCCAGCTCCAGTGGCATTTCAGCCATCACAGCAGCAGGAGGGGACTTGGGGCAGCGTCAGGGTTGAGGAATTCTCTGACCCCTGATCGGGACATGGACCAGGAAGGATGGGGGGGTTTCAGGTATTTCCAAGTGAAAGTAAGCCCTCCTTGGTGTTCTTGGCTTGAGGTGCAGGGTAGTGCCGCTCTGCGTTGTAGCTGGGAGAGCTGATGGATGGGCTACTGCCAGCTCACGGGGCCTGGACCGGAGAAGAGGTGCAGACGCACCTTTCCCTCTGCCCCGTCTAGTGGGCGCTACATGTGCAGCAGTGTATGTGTTCAGTTGGGTTGGGGTGACCTGGAAACGTGCTGCTGGAATACGGGGCAATAGGAGGTCTCTGCAGGGAGCATGGTTCGGCAGGCCTGGGCCAGAGACAGCAGGTGGGAGCTGCAACACCCAGCAGGTACCCTGACTCCATGTGCTCAAGGCCAGCTCCTGTGACTGGAGCCAGGCACAGCTTCACCACCAAGCACCTGCTGGCCACACAAATGGTTCTGATGACTTGTTAGTACAGAGTCCTGCCCTCTCTCAAGTGCCTTCCCTGGTGGTCCTCTTTCTAGAAGGGCTGCCACCACAGTGTCTCTCACACACTGTGATGCCATAGGCAGCAGTTGCAGAGTTGAGCAATTGAGTTCCTCCTTGCAATCTGATAAGAGCAGCAAACCCTGGTACATGCTGGGCCTCAGCCTCAGTGTAGGAGAGAATGGCTTGGCCAGCCCCTCCTGTGCCCTGTCACTCCCTGAGCGTCTAAGAGCTGAGCCTGTGGGGGTCCTTCCCTTCTGCTCCCCACCTTTGGGTGGCCCTGCCCTCTGAGCAGCCATGTGGGCAGGGCCCTTTGTGGGGTCCAGGCGATGGTAAGGTTGTTGGAAGGTCTTCCTTTTCAAAGGCTGGTGCCTGGTCTGTAGCATAAATTACATTTTTATTTTACAAAAGTGGTATTTAGACGAGTGTGAGTAAAAGTCAGTGGAGTTTCTAGTCATAGTGCAGGTCCTGCATCCCACCCGGCTCACCCATTGGGCCCAGGATCTCACTCTGATGCAGGTGGCAGCTTGGGCTTCCGTTCCTGGTGGACTAGGTGCCAGGTGGGCAGGGGCTGCTGCCCTCCTCTGACCCTCCCATGCCTGCTGCAGAGGGGGGCCTGGAGGAGATGGTGGAGGAGCTCAACAGCGGGAAGGTGATGTACGCGTTCTGCAGGGTGAAGGACCCCAACTCCGGCCTGCCCAAGTTTGTTCTCATCAACTGGGTATGTGAAGCCCGAGGGTCCGCGTTCTCGTCTGGGTGTGACCGGAAAAGCTCCCCCTGCTCTCCTCTGAGAGATAGGAGCAGAGGAGGACTTGACTTGAGGACTGCATAGCTGGAGGGTTAATTCATTGTGGCCCAGAGAATACCTTGGGCCTTGGAAGCTCAGCATTCACCTTCCAAGCCCAGAATTGCTCCTGCAGAATGAAGTACTGACAATCACAGGACAACCTTGCCCTTGTCCCCTTCAGGCTATCCCAAGGAAGCAGAGGGCCTGGGGAAGGGCTGGGAAGGCTTTGGGAGCACAGGATGGGGCTGGGGTGGGGACTGGAGGATTTTCAAGTGCCCCCACAGTGGAAGCTGCCCCAACCACCTTCCTGACTTGGAGATGGGGCCACCTGGTCCTGTGCTTTGTGGTAGCCATTTTCTCCTTCCAGAGACACAGAGAACCTGCCAAGTCCCTGGGAGTGCATTGGCTTTGGGGAATGGGCAGGTCATGCTGGGTGTGTTGCCTTGCAGACGGGCGAGGGTGTGAACGACGTGCGGAAGGGTGCGTGTGCCAACCACGTCAGCACCATGGCCAGCTTCCTGAAGGTGAGGGCCGCGCCCTGCAGGGCCTCATAATTCATCAGACCCCAGGTACCCAGAATGAGTGAGTGGGACCCACAGCCAGAGTTGGAGGTGTGCCCCACACCCCATGCTCTAGGACACAGGCCCCAAGGCCCCAGTGGTGAGTGCTGCCTGGGCCCGCGGGCAGTGGGGTGGGTGGGCAGTTCCCAGTGTCCAGACTGGCTGCACCTGCCCTCAGCATCTGGATCTCAGGCTGTTCCAGTCTTGCTCAGCTGGTGTGCATAGCGGCCTGGGTGTGGCCTCGGTATGGCCTCAGGGGGGAGGCAGGACAGAGGACTTCGAGGAGCACTGTGTGGGAGCTGGTCTTGGGCAGGGCTGGCCTTGCTTGCGCTGGCTTCACGAGAGCTGTAAACAGTACTGAGCAGTACTGCTGGGTTTAGTAGGAGAGGGAGGGTCACTGTGCCCCACAAGTGGCCCCTTTGATGCGTTGTTTTCCGCCCACTTCTGCATGTCCGTCATAATTGGATACTCATGTGGTTTCAGAAGCATTTATTCTGACATGTCAGGTGACTGCATTTCCAGTTCTGCCAACGCTTCTTCAGATGTACCTCAATTTTTCCATCTGGGAGCTAGAAGAGAGGGTCCCAGGCTTCCTGGGTGTTTAGTGACAGTGAGTGAGGTTGTGAGCCAGGCCTCTCTATAGGTCAGTGGCTATAGAAAATGTGCTTGTTCCCAGATGTCTGTCAAGGTTAGTTGTCACTGATTAGAAAGAAATCCTCTAGTGCCTGAGCCATCTGCTCAAATGCAGAGCCACAGAACATGCCACAGGCACAAAGGCCTCACACATGAGCTGGGACAAGCTCGAGCGTTTGCCCAGTTCTCAGCAGGGTCTCCAGAACCTGTGCAGACAGGTGTGCAGCCTGTCCTCTTGTGGAGTTGCAACACCTTTTGTTACTGCTGCTCTCGCCACAGGGAGCCCACGTGACCATCAACGCGAGGGCTGAGGAGGATGTGGAACCTGAGTGCATCATGCAGAAGGTGGCCAGGGCCTCAGGTGCCAACTACACCTTCCACAGGGAGAGCGGCCGATTCCAGGACACAGGCCCCCAGGCCCCAGTGGTGAGTGCTGCCTGGGCCTGAGGGCACGGGGGTGGGTGTGCATTTCCCAGTGTCCAGACTGGCTACATCTGCCCTCGGCACCTGATCCCTCGTGGGGCTGGCTCCCACCTGCCTGGCTTCTGCCTGCCTGGCTTCAGGTCCCTGAGTTGGGTCAAGGCGCAGATGGTGACCCATGTCTGACAGGAGCAGGAGCTGCCCCTATGAGGCAGGTGCTCATCAGCATGAGGAACAGCCCTCTACCCTGACCTTGATGGGTTTTTCTGGAGCCTGTGATGCTGTGTGGCGGAGGTCCCCTGATGGGAAAGTGCAGCCATCAGAGGCCACAGCACCAACATGTCCTGTGTAGTGGCCGCCATGGAGGAACTTCAAGTGGCAGACAGGGAAGGCCCCCTCCAGGTTGTGGGCAGATTCCATTGAGCCTGTGGCCTTGGTGCTGGCTGGGGATCTGAGTCCCCTGACACAAAGCAGGGTTCATGGGGATTGGTAGGTGCTTCCCTGGTGGTCAGCTGTCTGTGGCTGGTGGGCCAGCCTCCTGGGAATGGCTGCTGGCCAGAGGTCAGCCTCAGACGTGCCCTGGCTTCACCCACAAGGGCCTGGTGTAACCAGAGGCCTACCTATGTTGCACCTCCCTGCTCAGTGGTATCCAGGGCCTTTCAGGCCACCTTGCTGTTAGCCTCCTTCAGGTCATTGAGCTGGGGCCACTGTGTCTGCCAGGGGCTGTCCTAACAGTTCCTGCCTGGCCGTGCGCTCCTGCTGAGGGCCCTGTGCTGCGGCCCCTGTCCCCGCAGGGCTCTGTGTACCAGAAGACCAATGCTGTGTCTGAGATCAAGAGGGTCGGCAAAGACAGCTTCTGGGCCAAAGCGGAGGTGAGTGCTGTTGGGGCGTGATGATCGCTGGTGTCTGTGGGGTGTCTGGTGTGTACCAGGTGGGGAATAAGTGTTTTACTCTCTCTATGTCAGTTTTCTCATAACGAACTCCTAGAATGACCCATGCACACAGACAGTACTGCGGCGAAGGCCTTGGGGGGCAGGAGCAGGGTGGAGGGGAACAATGGGGGGGAGGGGGAACATCTGTAATACTTTCAACAATAAAGATAAATTTAAAAAGAAAAAAGCTCCTAGAGCAATGTTCTCGTCACTGCCTGTGCACCAATGGTCACTCGTGTTATCAGGGTTAAGTAAGGAGGCTGGGAGTGTCCCTCTGGAGCCCCCACTGCACTGGGTAGGGGCTGAGCATGCTCCCTGCAGGAGGAGGAGGAGGCACGGCGGGCAGAGGAGAAGCGGCGGGTGGAGCAGGAGCGGCAGCAGCTGGAACGGGAGCGCCGGGAGCGGGAGCTTCAGGAGGCCGCCCGCAGGGAGCAGCGCTACCAGGAGCAAGGCCGAGAGGCTAGCCAGAGGTGAGGTCCAGAGGGGAGATGGGGCTGCCTCAGGGGTCAGCAGGCAGAGGCTCAGCCCTGCCCTCTGCCCTCCCAGCAGGAAGTGTGAGCAGCAGGAAGTGGTTTCAAGGAGCAGAGAGGAGCAGGTGAGACCTGGGTGCTCAGACCCAGAGGGCCCGTCCCACATGGTGTGGAGGCCACCCACTGTGAGCTGCTGCAGCAGGTGGGAACCTGGGACACACTTGGGTGCATCAGAGGTGGCAGTGGAGAGAGGAGCCAAGGGCAGGAGCTCCTAGCATGGATCTCAGCCGGGGCTTGGGGAAGGCCTGTGAGCCCCCACGCTGCAGGAGCCAGGCAGGCTGGCAGGCTCCAGGTTCCCGCTCACAGTGGGTCCATGCATGCTCCCCCAGGAACCTGGTCAACAGTCAGCACACCCACGGGAGATTTTCAAGCAGAAGGAGAGAGCCATGTCCACCACATCTGTCTCCAGCCCCCAGCCAGGTGAGACTTCCCTCTGTGCCATGAGGTAGGGCCAGGCCGAGGGGAGTGACAGATGGGTCAAAAGGTGACAGGGACAAGTGAGTCAGGAGAGCCTGTACTTATGACAGCTTCTGGGAGGGGACCCAGGTGTCCCCTCCCTGCCCTTGACTTCATCCTGCAGAGACCTGGTAGGGAAGGAGTGGAGACCCTCCAGCCCTGGCCCCATAAAGCCCTGGTACAGGTCACACTTTGGGCTGTAAGCTGGTTCCCAGTACCTCTCTGTTCCTCGAAGGACACAGGACTAGCCCTGCCAGCCAGCTCTCATACTGCATGTGCACCTGAGGGGCTGTGTGAAGCATATGGGTGTGTGTGGTGTCCTCACTCCCAGTGTGAAGCCACTGTACAAGACAGGTCTCCCTTCCGGGCAGGGCCCAGAGAAAGCAGAGGCTGTGTTCTTCCTGTCCCGCTGTGTGAGGTCCTGTTTACCATTGGTTTGCAGGCAAACTGAGGAGCCCCTTCCTGCAGAAGCAGCTCGCCCAACCAGAGAGCCCCCTCAGCGGAGAGGTGACTCACACTGCCTCAAGGCCCAGGGCAGGCAAGTCTCTCGGCACCCAGTGGGGGCTGGGGGGGGGCAACGGGGGTGTCCTCTCCCCTCCCAGGGTCAGAGCTGGCTGCATCCCTGTGCAGGTCTGTGTGAGGAACCGGTGCCCAGTGCCCCTGCATGTCCAGTGCAGGCAGAAGAGGAGGCCGTATACGAGGAGCCCCCAGAGCAGGAGACCCTCTATGAGGAGCCCCCAATGGTGGGTTCTCTGCAGCAGGGCCAGGGCTGCAAGGGCCTGTTCCCTGAGACAGCCCCCTCAGCCGCACCTGCGAGGCTCATTACCTGTGGGTTGTCTTGTTTAAATTTGGAGCCACTTGTGAGATAAGTTCTGTGGCAAGCACCACCATGTGGGAGGTGCTGGGGGTGGTCACCATGCCATCCCTCACATGCCACACCCTCCCCCAAGCCTGATATAAGTCCTGGCCTTGTGCAGGGCCCAGGTAACCAGGACCCAGACTTCTTTCCTGTCTGGCAGGTGCAGCAGCAAGATGCTGGCTCTGTGCACATGGATCACTACCCGGGGCTGAGTGGGAAGGGGCTCTGTGCCCGTGCCCTGTACGACTACCAGGCAGGTAACATGCCCCCCGCCCCCCCAGACCACAGGGCCCAAGATAGGGGCCTGTTCTGCGGCTCCTCAGGGACAACCCCAGGGGGTGTCAGAAGACAGGAGGGTGAGAGAGGAGCAGGGTGGATGCCTTGCACAGCTAAGCCTCTGTGGGCACTGGGCAGCCCCTTGCTGTCCATAGTGTGACTCCCATTTACCAGCCTAGTTGTAGAGCCTGAAGGTGTGACTGGAGAGGTGGCTCTGGGTGGTGGCCTTGGGGAGCAAGCTGATGTGTGGAAGGAAGTGCTGTCTATAGCCTTTTGCTGGAACACTAGCCCAGAGCCAGGCCCTGCGGAAAGTGTGTTTGGGAAAGGCCAGTATCAGGACAGGCTGAGCTGGTGCCCAGGGCCCTAGAGCTCCTGGTGCAGCATCTGGGCTCACCTTCCTTTCAGCTGACGAGACCGAGATCTCCTTTGACCCTGAGAACCTCATCACGGGTATCGAGGTGATCGATGAAGGCTGGTGGCGTGGCTACGGGCCCGACGGCCACTTTGGCATGTTTCCCGCCAACTATGTGGAGCTCATTGAGTGAGGGCCGTGCCTGGGGCCAAGGCTCAGGCCATCCTCCCCCACCCCCACGTGGTCTCATTGCTGGAGGTGGCAGTGTGAGGGTTGCATATGGTCTTCTTCCAGGAATGGGCCCCAACTGCAGCAATAACCTAGTGACTCCCACACACTTCTAGCAGCCCCAACAGGCAGGGACTCCCGCCTTTTCCCTGTCCTCGCAGCTCTGAGGGGTGGTGGCTCCCACTGCCAGTGACCAGGGGAGACATAGCTGGTCTTTCTGGGTCCTGCTCGGTGCTCCTGTGTCTGTTCCTCTGCCTGGGCTGTGTGTGGGGACAGGGGCGACCAAGCCCCCATCAGTATGGAAGCATCAGCAGATACTTCTGTGTGGCTCACTCTTGCTTGCTGGCCCTGGTGGGGACACCTGCCATCTTCCCCATGTCCCAGTCTGCTCTGGGAGTCAGAATTGACCCACACAGGCCCTGGCTCTGATACCCACTGTTATAACCTGACGGTCCCGTATGAAGCAGCCCCTTCCTGGTGTCTGGTGCTAGTGGGTGTGCACCTCGGACTAGCCGGCTGCAGCCACCTGGAAGAGGCGTAAAGGTTAACATGTGATCTATGTTCCTCTCTCTCCCCCCTGTCCCCCTCCCTTTCCCTCATATCAATAAAAACATATTTAAAAAAATAAAATTAGGATGTGAGTGAAATGAGCCTCCTGCACCTAGTTCGGTGGGAGGGGCCGAGGGCCTGTACCCACGCCAGACTGTATGGGTGTGCGTGGGTATGCAGCAAGATGCCTGGTGCCCAGTGGGCACCAGGGAGAATCTGCTTCCTCATGTGCCCTGGAGCTGCTGGGTGGAAGCAGCCAGGGTGGAGGCTGCACTGGGGAGGCCCCAGGTGGTAGCCAAGCCCAGTGCCCCCTCCCCGCCTGGTGGCAAGTGGCCTGTCCTGTGTGCCCCTTGGGCAGGCCAAGCTACAGGCAGGCCCCACTGTCCTGATTTCTCTCCTGTGAATATGACAGTGCTTCCCACCCCCAGCTATGGAGGCTCCATGAGTTAGGTATTCCCAGTTTTGAGGCCAGCTGTGGGCTTGTCTGTTCACAGACAAAGGGACCCTCAGGAGGAGGGGCTTGGGGTGCTGCCTCACCTGCAGGGACAGCAGAGGACAACCCATCTAAAGCCAGCTGGGTGCTGTGCTAGCTTGGGGAGGGCTGGGTTACTTGGACTGTTCCTAGCTGACCCAGGCACCCTGATTCTAGAGTAAGGTTACCAAGTGGGTCTTCGGCCTTGGGGGCCACCTGATAGCCAGGGATGGGGGCCAGGGTCCTCACACCTAATGGGGGGGCAGGGCTGGGCAGGCAGAAGGGGCCAGGCCCTGCCTGGGCAGTGTTTGTAGAATCCCAGGCCCTGAGTGAGCGCTGGGCATGAGGGCCACGCTGGACTCGTGGTGGTGGGAGGTGCCTTTATTGCCAGAGCCAAATCTTCACTTGGCCTTGCCCTGCGCGGCCACAGCCTCCATGGCCTTACGAACCGTCTCCTCATCGCCCAGGAAGCGCATGGGCTTGGTGGGCTTCAGTGCTTGGTCCAGCTCGTACACAATGGGGATCCCAGTGGGCAGGTTCAGCTCCATGATGGCCTGGTCCGACATCCCTGGACGGGAGGAACCAGAGGTCCTCAGCCCCTCCCAGCCTGCCCACCAGGCAGCAGGCTCTGTGACCTTTACGAGCCACAACTGGCCAGCTAGGCACAGCCCTCCCACCCCAACAGTAGGCCGGAGAAATGTGCCTGGAGAAGGTCAAGGCGGAACTGAGACGGTGGCCTACAGAAATAGCCACACTAAACCAAGGGTTGCTGTGACCTGGGCTGGCACCATGGGTCTGGGACTAGCGTGAACTCTGGCCAGGCCGACGACATTTGGTTCAGTTAGGACGTTAGCCATTCAGTGCTAAGCTGGGGCATCCTGAGCAGAGGAGCAGCGGTGCTGCTATGAGATGGGTGGGTGAGGGACAGCAACAGGGGCCTCCGTGGCCACGGTGGACAGGAGTCTCTGCCAGGTGGGAAGGGCTGTTTTCTGAGGAAACTTGACCCGCCAGCCTCCCACCGTCTCTAGCCTGGAATAGCTCGCCCTTTGGAATTTTCCACCACCCTACAGAGCAAGGAGGCAAGTTTCCTGGGCAGTGGAAGACCCCACATGTTCCCGGTGTGCCAAGGCATGTGGGCTGCAAAAAGCCCCCAGAAGGCAGGGGCAGAAGCTGGTCTGTGCACTTGCTGGGCTCAGCACCTGCTGTGAAGGGTCTGGGTGGACCTGGCATCCTGGGGAGGACAGTAGGGCTGGCCAGGCTGCAGGGGCCTGCCTGTCTGCTCTGGCCAGCTGCTCGTTGGCCCACAGGAGCAGGAGGTTTGGAGCCCACCATCCCACCTGCCTTCCTCTCTCCCTGATCCCAAGCTTGAAGGCCATTCAGATGCTAACAGATTCTCCTGATATCTGAAAATCCTGAAGGTCCCTGTCCTGCCTGGGACATTAGCAAAGGAAGCCCCTGGAGGAGCCCGTCATGCTATTTAGTGGGAGCCCAGCTATAAGCCTGGGGTCTCCAGGCCACTACACACCCTGCATCCTTTTGAGTGGTCTTATGTCTGCTGGAGTGGGTAGAGCTGGGGGCGAAGGGGCAGGGCTTTGCCCTGGGCCCCATGTCCAGCATTCAGCAGTACCAGGAGTTGCCCCAGAGGGTGGTCGAGGCCCAGCAAGTGACATGACTGGACCAGGGACACACAGCAAAGCAGGGTTTGGAACCAGAAGGCCCTGCTTTTCCTGGCTGGTGTGCTTGGGCAAGATGCCACCCCCAGTGTTCCCCACCTGCTCAGGGCTCAAGTCCAGGAACCTGGGCCAGCCCCGACGCCTTAGCCCCTATGCAGGGCCTGGGCCCTGGGTCAGAGGTGGGAGATGTTTTCACCTCAGTCTTCAGAAGGAAACTACATACACAGAACTGAAACCAAATTCTAAAAAAATGTTCCTTAAATGATTTGTCTACCCGCCCCGCCCCCCCCCAGTTCAATTCCGTTTGAAAACCCCACCCTGGGCACTGAGGCCTGCAGAGCTGCCTCAGCCAGGCAGTGGGCACTTCTGAAATTAGAGGCTGGGCAGGTTCAGGGACGTGTCACCCCACCCACCTCCACACACACCCCACATGAGGGTGGCCTCACCTTCCAGGTGTTTGACGATGCCCCGCAGGCTGTTGCCATGGGCTGCAATGAGCACTCTCTTGCCGGCTTTGATCTGGGGGGCAATCTCCTCGTTCCAGAAGGGCAGGGCCCGGGCAATGGTGTCCTTGAGGCTCTCACAAGTGGGCAGTTCCCCGGGCTTCAGGCCAGCATACCGACGCTCCTGGGGACATCCCCACCGCAGTTTTACATCCCACACAGCCGGCCCCCCACCTGAGCTCCCATTCCCAAGGCTCCTGCCCCCAGGCCTTCCCTCTGGCACCCCGAGCAGCCCACCTTGCTGATGGTGCTATAGTAGGGGTGCTTCTCGTCCATGGGGGGTGGCGGGATGTCAAAGGAACGCCTCCAGATCTTCACCTGCTCCTCCCCGTGCTTGGCGGCCGTTTCCGCCTTGTTGAGGCCCGTCAGTCCCCCATAGTGCCGCTCGTTGAGGCGCCAGGTACGCACCACAGGCACCCACATCTGGTCCGTGCCATCCAGGATGGTCCAGAGGGTGCGGATGGCCCGCTTCAGCACCGATGTGTAGCAGATGTCAAACTCCATCTTGGCATCCTTGATGGCCTGGGCCCCCCTCCTGGCCTCCTCGGCCCCCTTCTCACTGAGCTCTGCGTCGAACCAGCCACAGAAGCGGTTCTCCTGGTTCCAGGTGCTCTCACCGTGTCTCACCATCACAAGGCGGTGGGTCGACATGGCTGCGGTGGTGGCAGGCTCTGGACGAGGACAGCTTTCTGGCCCCTGACACCAGCTTTATAACGGTCTGTCCCCACCCCCCATCCCGGCCAACTGCCAATCCAATCTGCATTCCATGCTGGACAGGCGGGGGCAGGTGGCCAGTAGCAAAGCTTTCGTAGGAGGGTGGGCCGAGAGCTGGACTTAAAATAGTTCCACAGCCACCAGTCCCCACAGTCCAGAGCCCAGGCTGGG